GACCCCTACCCCTGCTGATAAGAGCAGGCTATCTTTAGCCCCGGGGTTTGCAAAGAACCAGTAGGAACCAGCCAAGGTCACTGGCACACTTTGCTCTGCTGGAAACTGAACCCTGGATCCCCACCCCCAGTGACTTAATTCAGGCCACCTGTGCGCTGGGAAAGCACTCTCCCACTGAGCTCCCCTTTTTCAAACCTGCACTATTATGCAATTTCCTGAGTTTCGGCCCAGCGAAGGTGGGCTGGCCTAACAACCACCCAGCTGCCAGGTGAAGCTGGAGCAGTTTCTACTGTGAGAGCTCAGCCCCACACACAACTTTTCTTTTTTTCATTTTTCTTGTAGCTTTGATCTCTTTGATTGCTTCAATTTTTTTAAAATTCTTTTTATTATTGTGGGGTGCATGGGTGCCTGCATGCAGTTTATGAGAGTCAGTGCATGAGTGTCAGTCTGGTGTATGTATATCTCATGAGACAGGGTTCACTCTGTAGTTCAGATGGGACTGGAACTCCTGAAGCCAAGGCTAGACTCCCGTGCATGACAATCCCTCTTCTTTAGCTTCTGGAGTTCTGAGATGACAGGTATGAACCACCATGCCCAACTTCAGGCTCCTGTTGTTGGGACAGGGCCTCAGCCTGGCCTGGAATTCACTCCAATCCTCTTGCTCACACCACCAGAATGCTGGGATTTCATGCTAGGCTCCTTCTTAAACATTTTATTTATTTTTGGATTTTTGAGGCAAGGTCTCTATATAATCCTGGCTGTCTTGGAGCTTGGTTTGTAGACCAGGCTGGCCTCAAACTCACAGAGATCCTCCTGCCTCTGCCTCCCCAGTTCTGGGATTAAAATACAGACTACCATGCCAGCCCCTACTTAGAAAAACACAGAAGCAGGAGCTAGAGAAATGATCAGTGTCGAAGAGTGTTTGCTGTTTTTGTAAAGGACCAGGGTTCAGTTCTTGCACCCACCTGATAGCCCACAAGCATCCATATTTAGTACCAAAAGATCAGATGCTCTTTTGACCTCTGCTGGCCTCAGGCAAGTATGTGGTACCCATACATACATATGGGCAAAATGTTTACCCATACACATAAATAAGTTTAAAAGAATACAGAAACGCTGGGCAGTGGTGGTGTGTGTCTTTAATCATTTGGGAGGCAAAGGCAAGCGGATTTCTGTGAGTTTGAGGTCAACCTGTTTGACAGAGTGAGTTCCAGGATAGACAGGGCTACACAGAAAAACTCGTGTCGAAAAACAAAACAAAAACACAAAAATTCGAACAATCTCGCCTGTAATCCCAGCACCCAGGAGGAAGTGGCAAGTGGATCTCTGTAAGTTTGAGGCCAGTGGGGTCTACATAGTGAGCTTCAGGACAGCCAGGTTTACACTTTAAGTCTCAGGGCTACACTCTAAGTCTCAGGGCTACACTCTAAGTCTCAGAGCTACACTCTTTTAAGTCTCAGGGCTACACTCTAAGTCTCAGAGCTACACTCTAAGTCTCAGGGCTACACTCTAAGTCTCAGGGCTACACTGTAAGTCTCAGGGTTACACTGTAAGTCTCAGGGTTACACTGTAAGTCTCAGGGTTACACTGTAAATCTTAGGGCTACACTGTAAATCTCAGGGCTACACTGTAAGTCTCAGGGTTACACTGTAAGTCTCAACACCCCTCTCGCCCCACCCGGTTTCATGTAGAGTGAATATATTTCTAAAGTAAATTCAAGCAAAACTAATAAGCAGTCCTGTAAGGATTCAGGCATTATGCTGGCCTGCCGCTGTCACCTGGCAGATGCACTCAGGCAGCAGCAGGGATCCTGGTTGCGAAGTGTGCGCGCAGCGCGCAGGTGCGCGGGACCCCGCCCCCGCACTTCCGCTCTCTTTCCTGTGTCCCCCGGGGACCTCCCTCCCCGCTTTCTGGTGACACTTCTCACTAGGCCCTGTCTGCCTGGCCTGTCTGTCCCCTGGTCCCCTCGCCTTATCCTAACGGCCTGCGACCAACAGCTGCCGACGCCTGCAGGCCCGCAGCTTGCAAGTCCGGGCGGGACGGCACCGGGGCTCGCGGCAGGAGAGATGGCGCATGCGTGCCGGGCCCCGCGTGACACGCTCTCCCGACGCTGATTGGTCATCGCGCATGAGTGACGCAAGAAGCTCGCCACAAAATGGCCGCTCATTCCCGACACGCCCCCTCCCCCCGCCCCTCCCTCCCTCCGCTGACGGAGCTCCGCACAAGACGGACGTGCGCACTA